GAGGATCGGGTCAGAAACCAAGACGACGCCCGCATTTCGTTTGACATTTGCGGTAATCTTTTCAGGGTGATTGTCTGAAGCTTGGGGGACCCTCAAAATGCAATCGGTTTTACGCGGGTGGGACGCAAAACGAATTGGATGACACAAGAGCTGGATATTTTTGTTGCCGCCCCCTAAACACAAAATTACTGGGTCGAGCTGTTGAAACCGCCATTCAGATCAGGCAATTTTGAGGCTGTCCGATTAAACTCCCCGGGTTCAACCCCCATCAAAGCACCGGCAAGGACCCAATTTAGAAACACAACCGTCGCTGAATTAATTTCAATCGCGACCAAGGAAGCCCGGAGTGCTTTTCGTGTTGGTAACCAGGATTGGTATTGTTTTTGGGGGGGGAAACCAGAAGCACACCCACTCACTTTAGGGTGCCCCTATTTTGACACAAAGGAAGGTACCCCAGTAAGGCAGTCCAGATGTTGTTGGTTGATCTTACCGTTGATATTTCGAAGCACGGCTGTTGGATGATTCAAACGGTTGCGCGAGCCGACCAAAAGCGGTTTGCGAGTGAGCGGTGTCATGCAGCAACTAGATGTTGCGTGCCCAGTTGTTCAGTGGCTTCCGCCCTTTTCTAGACTTTGGGAAGGGCTATTTTTAAAACTCAAGGGATGCCCCTTTTTCCCCTGACCACTGGGCATCCGAGCATGTATTATACACTGGCTTTGAGTTTCAACGCATGTGAGCTTCATGCAAAACAGGTGCACAGACTACAGGTTTGACCGTTCACAACCGCGCTTGCGCTTGTCGCATGTGTGAATTTGATTTTCACGTGGTGGCGGAGCTGAGATCCGTCAGTGCAACAACAGAACCAGCGAGGCCACGCTGTGCCAAACTACTACGAGATGTCAGGAGAACCAGCATCAGCATCACCTCAGCCCACAACAAAAACAGCAACGGACCAACCGCAGCAGAGACAGTAAGAGCAACAACTACAGGAGCATCGCAAGCTCAAGACAGCGCAGATACAAACTGCCGCCACCTTTGGTGGCCTGCGCAACCAATCGGCCGAGAATTCGACTTAGTACTACTACTAGCACAAGTGGCTACACAACGCATTGAGGACTCAGACATCAAAGCCCACATGCGTGACGCTACACGAACAACAATAGCAGTAGACCTCGCAGGCGATCTACACTACATCCTCATCAACATTCTTCAAGAAGGCCGTGAAACACTCCGACCGTTACGCAGCGCAACAGGTTTAGCCCTTAGGAACACGAAGTGTTGGCTACCTCACCAAACTACTGGAACCAACATTCAATAAAGCACAGCTTGAGGAACAAGTCCTACAATGGGAGTACGAGGTCGGTCGCTGCGAGGAAGACAGCGGTGCATCACTTCCAGATGGAGCGAACAAATCGCAATACTTCTCAGCAAGACCAAAGGAGAACTACAACAATATCTTAACTCCGTGCTGGACAGGTCACCAACTTCACCGAGATCAGGGCAGTCATCCTGCAGGACAGCCTCAGCTTTCTCAAGGTCGACTTTAGGGTTTCGCATAAACTAGAGTGGAGCACCGGCTCCGGTGGAGGGAGACAACACATGGAGAAAAGGAAGAAGCTAGAAGGCAAAGCAAAGAACAGAGGACACTACAAAGGAAGCAAGGCAAAGGCAAGCGCAGGAGCAAAGGATACTACAAAGGCTTCGACAAAGGCAGGATCAATAAAGACGAAGGAGAAGACAACGGGTCAAGCAAAGGCTACACAGGCCAAGGAAGCCATACGAAGTCAAGAGGAAAAGGAAAACAATAACTACATGACATGCCACAGATGCGGCAAACCTGGCCAGTGGCCACAGAACTGCGGAGTCCCAGTTTGGCGTGGAGGAGAAGGAACTAGACCAACAAACCACAAAACAATGAGGAACCTCAAAATGTGAAGGATGCTTGGGACTGGTGCTGCGAAGGAGAAGAAGGACGTGGACATGTTGGATACTATGCTGAGGAGAACTGGAACGACTACGAGCGGAACGACTACGGCAGTTGGAATGGGCCCCGCGATACGAAGAGGCAGCAAACTACATTGGAGCAAGTTGCGCAACAGCAGCAGCAACACAAAAGCAGAAACAACGCAAGATGGATGACAACATCGCCCACTACATCACGCTTTTCAACTTCCAATCTTGCCTGCGTTGGCACATGTTTGCCCAAAGGGCTGCGCGCCAGGTCTACCACTACCTTGTGGAGAATCAGTCGGTTGCGCAACTCTACACCGTGGCCAACAAGACCCTTCAAGCAGGGCAACTTCAAAGTCATGATACTTGTCTGACTTCAACCCACGATGCTGCACCATCACACACGCACAGCAGAAAGTACACCTGATCAGACAATCAGGCACGACATCCAGCGAAAATTCATTGCTGTGCTACAGCCTACTGACGCAACAGACAACAACAGAAAGAACAAATCGTGCCACTAACACACACAGAGACCAAGGACTAAAACACATCCTTGGTGGCAACGCTGGCTACTGGAAACTCGATGGTGCCTACGCCGTCCGAGTCCACAGGCGAACGCGCAAAGAGATCGTCACCTCACACAGCAACGGTTGCCCAGCACCACGAGAAAGACTAGATGGGCACGAACAAGACATGGACAAGAACAACTACAAGAGAACACCAACCAACATTGCAAACAAGAGCTATAAAGAAGATTTGAAGGTAATGGCTGGACTGACATCGGCTGAAATCAAAGACCACACCACCGCGACAAAGCTCTTCAACAGAGACACCTCCGACAACACCAAAACTGCAGCTAAGGGCTGTAAGATCGACGCTACGCAACCAAAGACAATGATACATCGACCGCCGCCAACGCAGGGAGACACTCGGAAGGACAAGGTGAACGCTGGATAAGGCGACGACGCTTGTCACACCTGCAGGACCCAGACACCCACCAAGCAACACACCCGAGCCTTACACCGAAAAGATGGAGGACAAGGACTCCGTCTACGGCTCGCGCCAATGTTCACAACACTGCGGACGTTTCTAGCACAACAGATGTCACGACGAATTTGGGTGCGAGACCTGGTGATGTTTCTATGTCATTCCTTGCTGCGCCCAAAGAAAGCCCTGTATGGACTATGCAGTTCACCTAACGCTTGGCAAGAGCTTGGCTCCGTACGACTCAAGTCAGGATCAAACGTCTACATCAACGCAGCTCGGGACTGCTACATCGTGTCACCACGCCTGTGGATGACTTGTTGGTGCTTGGCAACTAGACCACCGTCGACTCCACCCGTGAAGCAATCCAGAAGCAAGGGCTACTTAAGCGCGCTGGCTACCGCGAGCCAGGCAAACCGCAAGAATTCGTGGGAAGAACCGTTCAGCACTTTGGGCGCCGATGCACTATAGGACTTCCAGATTGCATCAACAAAAATTAAAGATGAAACTGGAACGACCAGCCGCAACCAACTCCACGAATCGCCCATTGCTACAAAGCAATGCTAGTAGATGTCGACCACGAATGGCACAAAAGGGCCTGTTGGTACACTGCAATGGTTGGATTACACACGACCCGACATTGCCAACGCAGCAAAAGAACTAGCGCGAGACCTCGCAGCACGTACTGATGTTTCACAAAAGCGAGTCAAAACCACGTTACCTGCTTCCCATAGAACCAACGGCAACACTAAAAGCAATCGCTAACAACATCCTGCGCCGCGATGTCTACGCCGATGCGGATTAGGCAGGATGCCCTACTACCAGGAAATCAACTTCAGGCTGCAACATCCAGTTGCCTTTGGCAGCAGAGTGCAAGCTACAATGGCGCTAAGTTCAGCAGAGCCTGAACTGTATGCAATCTGCACAGGAGTGAACGTACATCTCGCACCAACAACCTTCAAACCGCATACTACATCCAGTACAACTTCACCACCGTCAACACCCGCCACACGCTCAACAGTGGCTCATCTGGGGCTACTATCGTTCACTTGGCGCCAACCAACTACTCCAGATCCACCATTGATAGAAGACCCCTTCAACAGACCTACAATGCGCATACCACTCAAACCCTGAGTGCTACGGGCACCGCTTGCTCACGACAACACACGGCTCACCAAGAACCAACAGCGAGCGCTACAGATCATATTTCAAGAGCTCCGGTAGAGCGTTTAGAAAACCACGTATGGCTGAGTGAGCGCAAGTATGTCAGTTTTCCCAGTTTGTTGCTGTTTCTACAAACCACCAGGCAATTCATGTTGAAGGGGCGTGTCAAGACGCAGCAACTACATGTTGCACGTATTGCGTGCTGCAGGCCTCGCGCTTCATGCGAGCTTCGTTCAAAACAGGTGCGCAGCAAACTAGAGGTTTGACTATTAAGCTGAACCAGACAACAGCCCTTGCGCTTGTTGTATCTTCTGAGTGTGATTTTAACGAGTGCATGAGAGAGAGAGAGAGAGAGAGAGAGAGAGATTGAGAGAGATTCAGGGAGAGAGAGAGAGAGAGAGCAGAGAGAGAGAGAGAGAGAGAAAGAAAGAAAGAAAGAAAGAAAGAAAGAAAGAAAGAAAGAAAGAAAGAAAGAAAGAAAGAAAGAAAAGGCCGTTTTGCCGCGAAGGCTCTTGATTAGCTGCTTTGTCTTGGTTGCCACCAAATTGGGCCTGCTTGTTTTTGAATCTGAGCCATTTCTGCGAGCTTTTGTTTGCTACTGTTTGCTCACTTGCCAAGTGCAACAGCGTGCGGTACTTCTAGTTTGACACAGACTCCCATGTCGCCACAGATTCCCATGTCCGCGAAACTCGCGGCTGAGATGCTGGGCTTCAATGTGAGTCTGGTGGGCCACATTCTCTGCACGCAGCTGGGCCTGAAAGTTCAAGATCCTTCGTCTGGCCTTGCGGCAATAGACGCAATGACATAGCCCCAGCCACCAGACCGCTCGGGCCTGATGTGCTTGCAGGCGCCAGGCCCCGTGCTAGCCTCCGAACCAATCTCGTGAGCGCACAAACAACCTTTAAGAAGGCCGGGTGCCAATAAACTCAGGTCTTGCTTGAACCAGACAACGAGCCCAGTCAGCCGGTTCCTGCCGTGGTTATTGAATTTGAGAAAGGTCTGCTCTAAGAGACAGTGTGGCTGGGTGATTCCCAAATTCTTGCTCGCAGCGCCGTGCGCTTGCGAAAAGGATTGTCAGGCAAGATGACAACCTCAAAAAAGTTCAGCTCTCTCATGTCTTGCTGTGCCGGCCGCAAGCCTCCCAAACTGCTGCCTTGAAGGACTCCTGTCTCACTGAGCTCCGACACAACTCTCTCAGCTCCAGCTGTCCCGGCAGGTTTGGCTTTACGTCTGAGCGTTACGGGCAACGCTGAAACTGCCACTGCCTTGCTTGCTGTGACTTCTCACCCAGGTTTCTTGCAGCCAGGGCGGCGTGTGTAGCTCTGCACAAAATGTCACCTGGCAGCGCGATTGTGTCCAGACCGGAGACGCACAAGCTGTCACAACCATTTTCAAGCCACCTGCGGTGAAATTGCTGCTTCTTTGAAAAAGGGCTGCCTGTGATGTTAGTGGCTTTCGCGACTTCCTGGACCAGAGTGGTGAGACGCGTGGTGAGTCAAGCGCTCTCCACTCTGAGGTTGGCTATGTTAAACACTTTGACAAGCCGCCTGCGTCCGTCACACATCTCCAGAATTTCAACGAGCCAGGCATGGCTGCACGAGCTCTCGCAGAGACATGCTTGCGCCCTGCGCTCGCGTCGAAAAGGGTTGTGAGGCTGCAGAAGTTACAAGCGCAAATTGCTCGATTGTGAGAGCGACATCGCATTTTGCTGGTCAGGCCTTGCGTCGCGCTTCTAGGCCCAGATATGGCGCGATATGGCATAATACGGCCTTCTTGGGGTTTGCCAGCTGAATGTGGAAATGGCTGGAAGAGGCGTTGGCTGCACAAGTGTCATTCGATCTTTCGTTTGCTTCTGGGCCGGCAGTGGCAGGGCGATTTGTGCGCAGGAGGCAAACCTCGAACAGTTGCGGCCAAAGTGGAGACGGAAATGCTGCGTCAGGTGCTTCCGACCCTGAGTTTGGCATTCAAGCCACCTACACTGAAACTGTTTCTTCTTTGGACAAGGGCTGCCTGTGCGGCTTCCGCGACTTCCTGGACTAGAGTGGTGAGACGCGTGGTGAGTCAAGCGCTCCCCACTCTGAGGTTGGCTATGTCAAACACTTTGACAAGCCGCCTGCGTCCGTCACACCTCTCCAGAATTTCAACGAGCCAGGCTAGTTGGGCCCTTACTGACTCCATGGCAGCTGCGCCATGCATCGCATGTGCCACGGCTGCCTTCGCGCCTAGCTACGCTTTCGCAGCGCGCTCGCGTCGAAAAGGCTTTTGAGGCTGCAGAAGTTACAAGCGCAAACGCCTGATTGTTTGAGAGCAACATCAATTACATTTTGAGAAAAGCCAGCTCTGTTGACAGAAACTTGCTAGCTGGCCAAGCTTCAGCCTGCGACACAGTCGGGCTGGGTGAAGGGGTTCAAAAGTTTAGACTTGCAGTTGGCCTTGCGTCGCTCTTCAAGGCCCAGATATGGCGTGATATGGCATAATACGGCCTTCTTGGGCTTTGGCAGCTGAATGTGGAAATTGCTGGAAGAGGCGTTGGCTGCACAAGTTTCATTCGATCTTTCGTTTGCTTTGGGGCCGGCAGTGGCAGGGCGATTTGTGCGCAGGGTGCAAACCTCGAACAGTTGCGGCCAAAGTGGAGATGCTGCGTCAGGTGCTTCCGACCCTGAGTTTGGCATTCAAGCCACCTACGGGGGCCGCACTGAAACTGCTGCTTCTTTGGACAAGGGTTGCCTCACGCAGCCAGGTGGCAATGCGCAAAAACTCTGTGCGATTATGCCAAACTCGAAAAACATGACTGGAGTGGTGAGACGCGTGGTGAGTCAAGCGCTCCCCACTCTGAGGTTGGCTATGTCAAACACTTTGACAAGCCGCCTGCCTCAGTGCCACCGCTCCAGAATTTCAACGAGCCAGGCTACTTGGGCCCTTTACTGCCCCGACTCCAAGGCAGCTTCGCCAAGCATTGCGTGTGCCACGGCTGCCTTCGCGGCCTAGCTACGCTTTCGCAGCGCGCTCGCGTCGAAAAGGCCTTTGAGGCTGCAGAAGTTACCATCGCAAACGCCTGAGTGTTTGAGAGCGACGTCAAGTACATTTTGAGGAAAGCCAGATCTGCTGACAGAAGCTTGCTAGCCTACTAAGCTTCACCCTTCGACACAGTCTGGCAGGGGTTCCGACGCAGTTTGCAGCTTGCAGCTGGAAGAGCTGCAGTCCCTACTCTGAATCCCCGCCATGCCAAACCTCGGCCTCGCGCCGCATCGCGCCGCAAAGCCTTTGGGAGCTTGACATCGGACGCGTGCCCAGAATTGGTATGTGGCTTTGGCCATGCTGCTCACCAAAGGCCCGGAATTCTTGGGCCTTGAGCCAGCTGAATCCGCGTGTGGAAGCGGCTGGAGGCGTTGGCTGCGCAAGAGTGAGCTCACTCGAATTTCGCACGCAGCGTTGCAGTGATATCCGCATCGGGAGCCGCTCCCTGCTCGCGGTTGGTGGATGAAGCCACGTTGTGTTGCGAAGCTCTCGGCTTGTCACTGCTCCTTTGAACTTTTGCACTTTGAGGCAATTTGAGGCCTGCCACGCCACAGTCGCGGAAGGCTGCGGAAGCTTTGCGGAAGGGTTTACCAAGGCGTCTATGGTTTGAAGAGGCCCCAATGTGTGCATGGGCTTTGTTCAAGCCCTCAGGGCAGGTAAGATATAAACATGCAAGTTTCCCGCACAGCGTGGCGTCCTCAATGTATGCTGAGGAATTTAAAAAATGAGGATGTGTTTTTTGCAGCCTTAGTGGGGACAACTGCTCATCCCACTTTTTGTCCCGGCCGCATATTTGACTCCAGATTTGAGTATTGGCGAAGGCCGCGCTGAAACTGTTACTGTTCTGCTGGGACTTTTTGCCTGAGTTGCTTTGTCATGGGGTCTGCAGCTGGCTGCCACTGCGCAGAGAGCGGAGAAGCAAATTCTGAATCAAGTGCTTTCGATGAGTTTGGCGATGTCAAAGCCATTTCCAAGCCTGCCTCAGGACAAAGCCAACTCTCCAGAATTTCATTCTTGCCCCCACTGTGCCGCAGCTGTCATGGGGACGTTGCAGAATGCGTTTCCAAAATGATGTAGAGCGTATCCGGGAAGGGCCTACCGCAAAAGGAAGCAATTGGAGCCGAATTTCAGACCCAGTTCTATGTCAAAGCCATTTCGAAGCCAGCTGCGTCAGGAAGCCAACTCTGCAGCCGCGTGTCCGTGAAGGTACCGCCAAAGGAAACAGGGGCATAGCGAACCGGCGGTTGGAGCTTGAAATGTGGTGCAAATGAGCTTTTCCCAAACAGAGTGTCTCGCGAAAGGACATGAAGGACGGCAGAAGGACATCCTTCGAGTGAATTCCAGGCGGCTGTGTTGCCCCCCGTGTGTTCTTCAAGCGCTCAGCAGGGTAAGCTTGTGCCATGTGTTCGCTTCGCAAAAGGTAGAGGCTGCAGAATGCGCAAGTTTCCCACCCAGCGTGGCGTCCTCAATGTCTGCTGAGAGGCCTTTTGCGGCCTTCGTGGGGGGCAACTGCTCAAAGCTGATGCGTCAAGTGTGCCATGGCTGCGTTTGCGAGCGTGGCGAAAGCAATGCTTGCAAAAGTTGCAACAGCAAATGCCTGACCGCTTGAGAGCCGCAGCAGTTGAATTGACAAAAGTTAGCTTGCAAAAGTTACTGCCGCGCAAGTGCCTGACCGTTTGAGAGCCGCAGCAGTTGAGTTGAGAAAAGTCAGCTCTAAGCTTGGCTCATTCTGGGCTGGGCGAAGGGGCTCCCAAGAGCGGCAAGCCAGGCCCCAGCTGCTGTAGAAGTCAAGGCTCGTGTTGCACCCCAAAGCCTTTGGGAATTGCTCCTCGAACGCATTGCTTGGGCCTTGTGAGGCAGCTGAATCCGCGTGTGGAAACGGCTGGAGGCGTCGGCTGCGCTTGTTCTGGAAGCTGACCTGCGATCCGCTTCGGCTGCCAGAAGTCTCTGGACCCGCCTTACAGGCTGAGGGCTGGTTGATTCCCCAGGCGTGGACAACAATATCTTCAAGGTTGTGACCAACGATGACACACTTATTGCAGCCTACCGCACTTGTGTTTTTTTAGAGTGGAAGATTCAACTCGGCCACGCTAAAACGTTCTGGGGTCTTTGTCCGCTGCCGATAAGGCGCAGATCGCTAATGGTTGTAGGCTTTCCTCACTCGATGTTTCACCTACTTTGAGGCCTGCAGTGGCAGGGCGATTTGTGCACATCGAACAGTTGCGGGCCAAAGTGGAGACGGAAATGCTGAGTCAGGTACTTCCGACCCTGAAATTGACTGTCACAACCAGTTTCAAGCCACCTACGGGGGCCGCACTGAAACTGCTGCTTTGGACAAGGGTTGCCTGCGATGCAAGTGACTTTTTTTGCGACTTCCTGCCCGATTTGATTCGGAGGTGGCAATGCGCAAAAACTCCGTGCGATTACGCCAAACTCGGAAAAAAACATGGCGAGAGCGGTGAAGAAGCACATGGTGAGTCAAGCTCTCCCCACTCTCAGGTTATAGCTACACTTAGCTATGTCAAACAATTCACCACTCCGGAATTTCAACGAGTCACGACGACTTGGGCCCTTACTGCCCCGACTCCATGGCAGCTGTGCCAAACATCACGTGTGCCGTGGCTGCGTGCGTGCTCGCATACGCTTGCGTAGTGCGCTCGCGTCGAAAAGGCTTGTGAGGCTTTCGCGCAATCGCCTGAGAGCGACATCGATCACATTTTGAGAAAAGCCAGCTCTGTATTACTAAGTTTCATCCTCCGACACGAGGGGATGCCGAAATTCTGGCTCACGCAGCTTGACTTGAGCCGCGCGCAGTCCCTACGCTCCGTCCCCGGCAAGCCAAACCCCGGCTGGTGTGTAGAAGTCAGGCCACGGCTTTGGGAATTGGACCTCGAACGCGTTGTGCCCAGAATTTTTGTTGTACTTTGGCTTTGGCCATGCTGCTCCACCAAGGGCTTGGGTTTCTTGTGCCATGTGAGCCAGCTGATTCCGCGTGTGGAAACGGCTGGGCATTGGCTACAAGTGTGGCTTGCTGCTTGCAGCGTTGCGCATCGAGAGCCGCTTCCTGCTGGTGGATGGTGGATGAAGCCAGGTTGCGTCGCGACGGCTTGTCACCAGCTGCGCTCTTGCGCAGGACAGAAGCTCATGGGGCCCATGATAGCCCGGCAACACATGATGAGAGTGAAAGACTTGCGCCAGGACTGCTTGCAAAGGTGGGGGCAGGCATGACTTGACAAGATCCCACCGACAAATGCCAACTTGTCATGGCTGGTGGGATATCCGACCATTCTTGGCTCAACACTTCACAGAGCCGATTCCGTGGAATCGGATCCGTGCGCATTGACAGACCAAAATGAGTGGAGTGTTTCGTTCACAGGGATCGACCCACAAGCCTGGAGGGGGAGCTGGGCACAGAAACACAACCGAGCGCATCAAAATCAGAAAGATTGGAGTGTTTTCGAAACTGGACCCGTTTTGGTCAGAAACCAAGACGGCGCCAGCCATTGCGTTTGACATTTGCAGTGATCTTTTTGGGGTGACTGTCTGAAGCTTGGGGGGGGGGGAGGCCCTCAAAACGTTATTTTTCGGGCGACGACACAAGAGCTTCTCCCAGTTTATCCCCACACCCCGGCTTTTTGGGAGATGTTTGTTGTGGCGGCCGCCCCTACTGGGGTGGTCTTGGTTTCACGCGCGCCTGTTTACATGTCTTGCGCTTGCCCCGTTGCACTGCATCAGTAGGCCATCGGTTCCAACGACACAGTTCACCAAGTACTCATTCCACGACTGGGAGACTGCGTTCACTTGCAACAATGACCAAATTACATTGGACAACTTATGCGCGCTATTGACATGACTACACGCACTACCTGGGTACAACAGACTACAGATGATGCACAGCCGCGCTGATGCTTGCAGTCACCGAGTGCCACACTACAACTGCCACGGGACTACCTGAATCACTCCTCACCCCACTTCGAACATGGGCAACTACACACTTCGCACCAACGAGCTTCACAACGACATCCAGTACATCTTCGCCTTCAACACCCGCCACACGCTCAACTGGGCATCTGGGGTTACCATCTACCAATTGCACCAACCAACTACTCCAATTCCACCATTGATAGAAGACCCCGTCAACGGACCTACAATGCGCATACCACTGAAGGCGACTGAGCACTGGGGGCACCACTTGCTCACTACAACACACGGCTCACAGCAACTCCACCAACTACTACTCAGTACTCATTACACTTCAACAACTACAACGAACAGCGAGCGCTACCGACTCAACACTTTTCAATTTCAAGATCTCCAATAGAACTTTTTTGTCAACTACATCAGTTTCCATCACCAAGGTTGAGTGAACACAATTATGACAGCTTTCCAGTTGTTGGTACTACTACAAGCCATCAAACTGAAGGGGCGTATCAAGATGCAGCAACTACATGTTGAATGTATTGCGCACTGCAGGCCTTGAGCTTGAACATTACACGCGGGCTTTGCGCAAAACAGGTGCGCAGCAGACTACAGGCTTGACCGTAAAGTTGAATCAGACAACAGCACTTGCGCTTGTCGTATTTCTTTTGTTTGATTGACCGCGTCTTTTTTGTGACACATTGTTGTGAACATGTGGTTGCGCTGGTCATGTCTGATTCAACTTGCGCTCGCACCTGTCCAGATCTCTGATTCGTCTTCCCGTGCTTGGCCAGGTTTGCGTTTGCGGTTTGACATGTCGACAGTGTGGAATGAAGTCAGCTTGCGCTTTCTTTGAGCTCGCGTCTGCAGCTTGGTCTTGTCTTTGATTTTGGCTTATTTGGCTGCCAATGGGGTCTTCGGAAGCGGAGAGAGAGAGAGGGAGGAGAGGGAGAGAGGGAGAAAAGAAAAACACCATTTTGCCGCGAAGACTCTTTATTTACAGTTGTTTTTAGGTTGCCACCAAACGGGGCCCTGTTTTGATTTTGAATCTGACCCAGGTAGCTAGCCATTCTGCGCGCTTTTGTTTGCTGCTGTTTGCTCACTTGGCAAGTAGAGCAGCGCGCGGGATTGCTAATTCGCCGCGGATGGAATTCGCCGGGATGACTGCGGTGCCCATTCTTCCTGGGCGTTGCAGTCATCACAGCGCATGTGTTACGCGCTCTGCAGCAGCTGCAAGCTAGAAGTCTCGCGCCGAAAACCTATCTCTCGCTCTCCCCCTCTCTTGTTTGCAACCTGCGCTCAAGAGCTATTGCTGGCAATGCTTCCAGAGACCAAGTTCCAACAAAAGGTTCCAGCGTGTGCTCACAAAGAGCGAGGCAGGTGGCCAAGAACAGCCCTTGTACCTTCCGGGGCTGCTCGGCCGCGGCTGAGGGCAGGCGCCGAGAGACGGCTTGCAGGCAAGCCAAGCCCATGTTCGTGCACAGCTACAAACAAGATGCGCGCAAAAGGCCAAGACCATTTCGGGCCTGGGGACACAGGAAAGTCCATGTGGGACAACCCTGTATTTTTAGCGCCCCTATCGCTCTCAGATAGTCATTTTTTGCAAACGTAAGTACACCCTAAGTTGTTCCTAAGTTCACCATAAGTAGCTTTGATGCCCATACCATAAGTCACATAAGTAGACCCCGACTAACTTAAAAGTTGACATGAGCTTACGATGAACTAGCGAAGGCTAGCGAAGTCACAACATATGTTACAGAAGTTACAGCCTATGTTATGACCTGCTTATAAGTCCCACAAGGTATTTCCAACGTAGTGGTGGCCGTCACTTGCTTTGTTCGCCGGGCCTGAGAGCTCAAGATCCTTCGTCGCGGCGCTGACTGATGCAATGACTTGACATTGCCCCAGTGCTTCAACTCACCGATGTGTCAGGCGCCAGGCCCAGCGCAGCAGCGCTGAGGAGGGCGCCTTGCAAGCTCAGTGTTTGCCCTACAGCTGCAAGCGCGAGCCGTGCTTGCGGAGCGATTCCAGACGCAAGCGTCCGCGCTTGCTTCGTGCTAGCCACGCGCAGCTGGCAGGAGTGATCGCGCGCAGGCCCGCCAACTTCAATCAATCATGGGTAGAACGCGGTAAGGTAGATTTTGCCGCGAACTGCCGTGAGGCTCGCGTTGCAAAGGAGCGACTGCGAAAGTTACAAGCGCAGCTGCCTGACAATTGCAAAGAAGTCAGTCAGCTCTGACAGGAGCTCTCTCAACTGTAGCTGTCCCGGCCTGCGCAAGGCCTTCCTCCGAGAACAGCGCGGCGAATCAGTGGCGCTGCAGGGGCGCCCAGCGTGCGAGGCCTTTAAAATTTGGCCCTTAGTGTGGCTCGGTTGTTTGAACCCCTGGATCTTGTAGAGGGCAATTCAAATGCGTGTGAGGGTTCGTTTTGGCCGTCGCACAGCAAAGTCCAAACGGTCGGTGTTCGCTAAACTTTGCGATCCTTCGCAGCGTCTGCAAGCGCTTGTAAGCGGTCGCCAGCGTCCGCCGCAGGCGGTGAAAGTTGCCGCGATTTTGGGAAGGCCCAGAATGGCGCTTGTATGACTTGCGACATGTTCATGCGCTAGTGGACAAATTGCAGCATTTGCGTTTCATTTCGCTGCGCAGGCGCAGTGTGTTGAAAGGGCGCGCCTAGGCGTCATTGTGATATGTATTTCAGGCCTCTTCCTTAGCAGGCGCGCCCAAGCATCTGTGCGAGTGGTCGTGTCAAAGTTGGTCACAATCATTCTGGCGCCGCAGTCCCATGCTAATTTTTTGACACGCGTGGTACTTTGAGCGGTTTGAAGCGCTGTGATCAAACTTCTGTCTGTCTGGCTGTCGGTCTTCTACTCATCGTGTCTCTCTCTGTCTCTCTCTCTCTCTCTCTCTCTCTCTCTCTCTCTCTCTCTCTCTCTCTCTCTCTCTCTCTCTCTCTCTCTCTCTCTCTCTCTATCTGCCCACCTACCTATCTAACCCGTTCTATTCGAAGCCAATCCAAAGTTGTCTTGTTCTCGTGGCAGCCTACCTAGATGCGCGCGCAATGGTAGCTTGTGGCAAGCAGTCTGCGTGGCTTGTGTCAGGTGTTGGCCTTTTCGAATGTTGACTTGCCGGCTTATGAGACGTTTGCCCTTGAGCTGAGCATGTCAAATGGCAAATTTAATTTTCATCTCTTGGGATCGGGTATTCTTTTTGAGCGCCAATTAAAGAGCGGTTGGTTTAAAGGAAAGCAAAAGGACATCCGCCATATTGAAGCCCCCCTATTTGTCAACAACCAAAAAACACACATTCAAAAATCTTGGCTTCCGGTTCCTGCCCAAGTGTGCAGGACGGACCCCCTTGATTTTGAAGCTTGTTTTTGGGGGGCGGCTTGAAGGTCGCCCCAGAGGAGAAATGTTTTCAGGTTGGGGGTGGGAGTGCGGAAATGCGATCTTTCTTGGCTCTAGAAGACACGACGCGCCCCGCACCCTTGTGGATATTTGCCTTTCTTGTTGAAGACCCAAGACTCCCCCAATGTAATTGCAGGAGTCGCTTTGGTCAACAACGGGTCCTCGAATCAGAAGATGTCTCTACAAATGGTGTGTCTTGGACTCGATTCAGGTTTAGAATTCGTATTGGTTTCCGTCCTGTTCGCTCGTTCAAGGTGCTAGCACTTTTCTGGAGGGGGCCGCCCGCCTCATCATGACTTGGGGGCCCGCGCTCAGGCACGAAAAAGCTATGCTTCAGGTGTCAGATCACTATGCTGCCGCGGGCCTGGGTGTTTTGTCTAAAAAATGTGCGTGTGTGTGTGAGTGTGTGTGTGTGTGTCTGTGTCTGTGTCTGTGTCTGTGTGTGTGTGTGTGTGTGTCTGTGTGTGTGTCTGTGTGTGTGTGTCTGTTTGTGTGTCTGTGTGTCTGTGTGTGTGTCTGTGTGTGTGTCTGTGTGTGTGTCTGTGTGTGTGTCTGTGTGTGTGTCTGTGTGTGTCTGTGTGTGTCTGTGTCTGTGTCTCTGTGTGTCTGTGTGTGTCTGTGCGTGTGTGTGTGCGTGTGTGTCTGTGTGCGTGTGTCTGTGTGTGTGTGTCTGTGTGTGTGTGTGTTGCGTCTGTGTGTGTCTGTCTGTGTGTCTGTCTGTGTGTCTGTCTGTGTGTCTGTGTGTGTGTGTCTGTGTGTGTGTGTGTCTGTGTGTGTGTCTGTGCGTGTGTCTGTGTGTGTGTCTGTGTGTGTGTGTCTGTGTGTGTGTCTGTGTGTCTGTGTGTGTGTGTGTCTGTGTGTCTGTGTGTGTGTCTGTGTGTGCGTGTCTGTGTCTGTGTCTGTGTCTGTGTCTGTGTCTGTGTCTGTGTCTGTGTCTGTGTCTGTGCGTGCGTGCGTGCGTGCGTGCGTGTGTGTGTGTGTGGGTGTGTGTGTGTGTGTGTTTGTTTGTTTGTTTGTTT